ATCTTTCCAGCAAAGGCAAGAGATGGGTTGCAGAAATTTGATAAACAAATGTATAATCTTTAAAGTTCCACAATTTACCCTATATCACTTCTACTGTTAAATTATAAAAAAATTCAGATATTACATTCACCATAACATTAAATTTTAATAGCAGTTTTAATTTATTTGCCTCTTTAAAAAAGAGTAAATTATTTGCTGACATAGCTGTTCTTACTTCAGTTTTGATCCCACAAGAAGAGACAGGGACTCAAATCCAACAGTGCTCCAGTTAAAGTGCAGCCATTCTTATAAATAGTTTTTTAGGGCTGGGGTTGCTGGTCATGCAAATAAGGTCTTCGTTTAATTCTGACCTGCAGCCAGGATTCACTGCAGTCTATAGACACTGATGAAAGAAGAAAGGGAAAACGATAGATATCATGTCTGTCACTCAAGTGGTAGTAAGTTGTTGATAAGTGAAACTAAAGACTTACTGCAATACCTAACATTGTCTTTACAGCAACAGTAAGTTTTCTTCATGGGTTTCTATCAGTTTTGTGAGGGTTGCCCTATTTACTTTTCGTTGCATCTGCATAAAGTCAATTCTGTTATTCCACACTTACAGATGAATAAGCATAAGGTCTCTTGGCTGTTTGGTGGGAGAGAACTCAGACCGATGCAGAATCTGTTCACAGCAATATCCTCTGCTGGACCCCTGGCATTCGCTCCCGCCCTCTCAGTAACTGTATCTGATACTCGAGTGGCAAGCAAATCACCAAACACAAACCAGAACTTCAAATAAAGAAGAAAAACAACAGCACCTTGTGGTCACCTTCCTGTGACCTCAAGAGGAAGTACACCAGTGAAGATGTTGGATAAAACTGTGTACCAGAAGCTGACAGTCACTAGCAATGAACAGGTGATCACCAGACCGTAAAATGCAAATTCCTGGTCAACAGTATGTAAGAAAGCCTGCCACTTCTTGAAATGCCACCCTCCAGAATTCCCTTTTGCTTACCATCCTCAAAACTGTGAATCAATTGAAAAAGCCAAGGAGAGCCCAACTAACACTCCCAGGTCATCCTTCCACTACCAGCCTGATGTATCCTAGGAAATAGGAAGCCACGAGAAGGTGGCTTCCCAAGGTGTTTATAGACCTGTGGTCTCCTCGCATGCAAGCAATGACCCGTTGCCCAAGCCCTCAGCATAATTAGCTTTTCTGCTTCAAGGCTGAGATTATGATAATGATAACTTAGAAAATCAGGGGAAATGTATAAAGTGGCTCTAGACTCTACCCTCTTCCAAATTGTGTCTTCCCAAACTATGTATAGGTTTGTAATTAATGTCATGTAATATGTGATATGTGTCTATTGAACCATGAAGAGCAGGCATTTGCAAGATAATTTATTTAAAGATTTATTTATTTATTTGAAAGAGTTACAGAGAGAGCAAGCGAGAGGTCTCCCATCCGGTGGTTCACTCCCCAGCTGGCCGCAACAGCCGGAGCTGCACCGATCCAAAGCCAGGAGCCAGGAGCCTCCTCTGGGTCTCCCACTTGAGTGCAGCGGCCCAAGGACTTGAGCCATCTTCCACTGCTTTCCCAGGCCATCACAGAGAGCTGGACTGGAAGTGGAGCAGCCGGGACTTGTACCAGCACCCATATGGGATGTCGGCACTTCAGGCCAGGGCATTAACCCACTACGCCACCGTTTCTTAAGTATCTCAGGTATGCTCCCAACTAAAGGTGTTTGGCCCTACAATTCTTGCTACCTAAAATGTTCAGCATTTTACTATAGGTAACTTTCTTTCATTTACTATTCCAGAGTTACCCAAAGAACCCTGGAGGTAAAACAGTACCTCCTAGGCTCTGTGGCTCAGTGGATTAAGCTGCCACTTGAAATGCCTGCATCGCATATTGGAGTGTCAGTTCACTTCTAGCTCCTCCGCTTCCAGTCCAGCATGCACCTGGGGAGGCAGCAGATAATGGCCCAAGTCATCCACTTGGAGACCTGGATGGATTTCCTGGCTCCTGACATTGGCCTGACTCAGGCCAGGTGTTGCAGCCATTTAGGGAATGAATCAGCAGATGGAAAAGTTCCCTCGTTACTGTGCTTTTCAAATAAATACTTAAGTCTTTAAAAAGAAACAGCACTCCATCAGATGTTGCACTTCTTTACAGCACATATCTTCAGAGCCAAGCATTTAATGTATCTTATCTCCAGATTTCTGCCAGAAATATTTGGTTTAAATCACCTATAACAAATTCTAAGATTCTCATGAACACTAAAATTTCTTATATTAAGAGATATTAACTGCAGCCGGCGCTGTGGCATAATGGGTAAAGCCACCGTCTGCATTGCTGGCATCCCATATGGGCACCGGTTCAAGTCCTGGCTGCTCCAATTCCAATCCAGCTCTCTGCTATGGCCTAGGAAAGCAGTGGAAGATGGCCCAAGTCCTGGGGCCCCTGCATCCACGTGGGAGACCTGGAAGAAGCTCCTGGCTCCTGGCTTCGGATCAACGCAGCTCCAGTCATTGCGGCCAATTGGGGAGTGAACCATCGGATGGAAGACCTCTCCTTTCCCTCTCTCTCTCTCTGCCTCTCCTCTCTGTGTAACTGTGACTTTCAAATAAATAAATAAATCTTTAAAAAGAGAGAGATTAGCTGTGACAGGCATTGTAGCATAGCTAATAAAGCCGCTGTCTGCAGTGCTGGCATTCCATATGGGCGCCGATTCAAGTCCCGGCTGCTCCACTTCCGATCCAGCTCTCTGCTATCGCCTGGGAAAACAGTGGAAGATGGCCCAAGTCTTTGGCCTCTGCATCCGCGTGGGGGACCTAGAGGAAGCTCCTGGCTCCTGCCTTCAGATTGCCTTAGCTCCGGCCGTTGCAGCCAAGTGGGGAGTGAACCAGCAGATAGAAGACCTCTGTCTCTCTTTCTGCTTCTCCTCTCTTGTATATAACTGACTTTCAAATAAATAAATCTTAAAAATATTAGCTGCATTAAACTTTACAACCAAGTTATTAAATATTTAAGTCGAAGCAATACTACAGGGGCTGGCGCTGTGGCATTCTTGGGCCCCTACACGCACATGGGAGACAGAAGAAGCTCCTGGCTTTGGATTGTCTCAGCTCCGGCCCTTGGAGTCATTTGGGGAGTGAACCAGCAGATGGAGGATCTCTCTGCCTCTAACTCTGCCTTTAAATATTTTTTAAATGTAATACTACATAAATTGACCACCATTATACTATTCTACACGTTTCTACTTATTTCTGTAATATTCCCTATCTTGATATATTGAAAGTTTCAGAGAATTCTAGGTGGTAGACAGCAATCTCATTCTAAACTAACCAGTATGTTCATATAGGAATCTGGCCTACCAGAACTACTAGCTTTCTATGCTATCCAAAGATTTAAAAAAAAAAAAAAAACTCAATTCTGAGTCATTTATCAAATCAGTACCTTAAAGAATTCACTTTTCTCTCTAAAACCACAGCTTTTCCTGCACCTATGTAGCCGATTTTTTTTGTATATTGTCGTTTGTGAGATTCTTCTGTATGTCCTTACTAGTCTGAAGCAATCTTAGTAACACTTGGTTTAACTGCTTAAAGATTTATTAAAAAATATTTCTTAATCCAGCCAGATAGTTTACACTTGGGTAATAAATTAGGCCCAAAATTTCAGTGGCTTTATGTAGGAAGTGTGTATTTCTTCATAGGACATTAAGTGGGCAAGCAGATCTGTACCACAGAGTCATGCAAGGCCCTAAAAATGGAGTTTCTACCTTCCTACAGTCTCTGGCTTAGCCACATAGCTGTTCAGCTTATGGTAGTTCAAACTACCTACGTGGAAGAGAATAATGGGTAGATCACTTACATAGATAGTGTCCAATAAGTGTGTTTGTCATATAGAATGGCGGATGTCCTAACAGCCATTTAATTATTATACTATATTTAACGTTTTTTAAGTTAATACATAAAGCTCGCTAAGAATCTGCTTTGAGAAGAAAATTCTGGGAGTTTTCTATTTCAAATATTGTGAAAAGTTTTGTTTTGTTTAAATCTGAGACAACAGTGTGGGCATTTGACCCAACAGTTAAATACCACTTGGGGAATACTAAATAATGTATATAATAGAGGCAATGTCTTTAGTGTTTGAATAAGATACATAATGGGGCCAGTGCTGTGGCATAATAGACCCATATGGATGCTGGTTTGTATCCCAGCTGTTCCTCCTGCAATCTAGCTCTTTGCTATGGCTTGTGAAGCCCTTGGCTCCTAGCTTTGGATCAGCTCAATTTCAGCCGTTGTGGCCATTTGGGGAGTGAACCAGCAAACGGAAGACCTTTCTCTGTCTCTGTCTATAACTATACCTCTCAAATCTTTAAAAAAAATAAGATAAGTAAAATAGTGAAAACATGTCAACATAGTACTTAAGATTTTTTAAATGTTGATCAATAGATTTGAGAGGATTTTATATAGTGACCTAAGTTACTCACCTCTAAGTCTTTCTTCCCTATGTGATAGATTACTTATTAACCATATATTCTTCCCATTCTGATAGTTAAGTCCCCTCGCAATGGACTTCGTGCTATTCCCATGAGGCAATCATGATCCTATGACTTGGTTTTGACCAGCAGAATGTGGTGGTGACGTTGCGGGTGTTCTGGAACAGAAGGTTCACCCACCATCACAGCTTCTGCCGCCCCTCTCTTGGAATGCTGTTCTGCGACTGTCAAGTAACGAGGCCAACTGAACTATAAGGAGTTTGGGAGGATGAAAGAATAAGTACAGGAGAACGGAGGGCCCCAGTTGTCCAAAATGTGAGGCCGTCTTGGACCTTCCATCCCAACCAATACTCCAGCCAAATGCAGCCATTGCTTGAGCCTAGGTGAAAGCAGAAAAGCCCAACCAGCCCGAAAAATTATGAAAAATATAGACTGTTACAATTTTATGACACTTAGTATTAATTTATTATACTGAAACAGTTAGCTGAGAATTTCTTATAACTGCATAGTTGATCAGTAAACAAAAAATTTTTCTACTTTAATGTATCTCATAGTTATCTTTTTAAACAAAGATGGTATCAGTAATAACTCTGCCTTCTTCAGAAGATTACTACAGCTTAGGCATATTGCTCCTTAGTCCTCAGGCAGCTTCAGTCACTCCATTATCCTCGGACATGGTATAGGCAGGGATCTAATGTTGGGCATTTCCTATAAGAAAGAAAATAAAGGATAGATGAGTGAATTTTGTGTAATAATTGGGTTATCTGGTTGAAGCTTCTCATTAGGATAGAATTAAGGGTAAAAGTGATCTGTAGCTTTCAATTTTGTATGCGAATATTTTTCGCATCCAAGAACAAATACTATATATCAAAATTAAGGAAACCATTCTAAGTTCTTATAGGAAATCATTTTATCTCAAATTCTGCTTTTAAATGTAATCTCTACAACAAATCCATTTCCCTTCAGCAATTCTATGCCCCAAAAAGTCTTAACCCTCCAACAAATTTTCATAACTTTCCTTTCACTGCTCACTCAATGGGAAAATCTCATGAACCAGAAACCTATTTTCCTGCAGGTATTGGAGTTTAAGGAAGAGCACTTTTCTCTAAGGAAATGTCAATTTCACATCTGCTTTGACTGCTTAGTAATCTTTGGCCTTGTGTTAACACTAAAGTAGTTCATTACTATGAATATCTCCATGAATATTGAAGTTGACAACTAGTTCATATCATTGATACTAGTTTTGTCTATTATATGATGCCTGAGAAACCCCTAATAGCAAGCTCCACCCTGTGTCAGATGAGACGATACTATGAAGCCCAATTCACCAGTAAAGACAGAATTGCACAAACTTTCCATCCATGCATTGGGTGCAGCTAAGTGCATGCGGTATCAACATGCGCTTATGAAATTTCCTTTTCTAAAAGAAAAAACTTATTTCTGGTTTTCTACCACAGAACATACATGAATAGTATTAAAAACTGAATGTCTAAGTACCTCAACTTCAATCTTGACAGATACAGAAGAAAAATCCTTAAGCATTGGAGTATGAAGGACGCACATTTAAGCATTTCACATTCTCTTCATAATATTCTTGGTAAGTTGGAGAAGCCAACCATTGGGACTGCCTAAAAGGGAAATAAAACATAAAATGAACAAGAACTAAAACATGTATTGAAACATCTATTTGGGTCCTAGTGTTACTGTGCTGGAGGATACATATTATTGCCATTCTCTGTTTTAACACTAGACTTCTTCCAGTTTTTAAGTGAGGGGCCTCTATACCTTATTGCTAATCAGACACCAAAATGGGATTATAGATTCTCAGTATAGTATTTCAATATGAAAACTTTTATGAAAAAATGGCCCAACAACACTTTCCCAGACACAGGATGTATGTTATAAGGTGATTAAGTGGTACCTCATTTATGAAAGCTTGATATAAAGTTAGATCTATAGGGGCTGGCACTATGGTTTAAGCCTCTGCCTCCATATGGGAGCTGGTTCATGTCCCGGCTACTTCTCCTTGGATCCATCTCTCTGCTTATGGCTCGGAAAAGCAGTGGAAGATGGCCCAAGTGCTTGGGCTCCTGCACCCACGTGGGAGACCCGGAAGAAGCTCCTGGGTTTGCATTGGCCAGCTGTTGCTGCCATTTGGGGAGTGAACCAGTGGATGGAAAATCTTTATCTCTCCTTCTCTGTCTGTAAATTTGCCTCTCAAAAGAACCTTTTTAAAACATTAAATATGTAACAGTTAACAAAAGTACTAAGTATTCCAAGTGTTTCATCTTATGATCCTGAAATCATATGAAACAACTGTGTTCAGGAACTAGGATTCATTTTTTTTTTTTTGACAGGCAGAGTTAGTGAAAGAGACAGAGACAAAAGGTCTTCTCTTAAAAAGTTTTTCCTCCTTCTGTTGGCATAGTTGTGAACCTTAAAGTGCCCTTTGTAGTCTTTGCTATTGATAGCAAGATAGAGAAAATATGGAATATGTAGTTAATAGAACTGTGCTTGGACATGACATCAACAACATATTCAATGGATCAATGAGACATGGATAATAATCTTCCCACTTATCTAAGGATAGTAATTATCTCCTAGTATTTGCAGAGATACGTGTGCATACTCCTACACAACACAGGAAGTAAAAATCAAGACATCTAATCCAAGTGAGGGCTTGGCATGCAAGAAGAGACTCATTCACCCTTTCAAAGCTCTATTTGGAAAATGGATAGTTGAGATTCAATGGAAATATATGATGGCGTATTTTAAAACAGAAGGGTCCAGCACTATGGCACAGAGAGTTAAAGCCAAGCCTGCAGCGCCGGCATCCCATATGGCTGCCAGTTCAAGTCTCAGCTGCTCCACTTCTATGCAGCTTCCTGATAATGCACCTGGAAAGCAGTGGAAGATGCCCCAAGTGCTTGGGTCCCTAACACCCACATTGGGAGACCTATAAGAAGCTCCTGGCTCCAGCCTGCCAGCCCCAGCTGTTGCAGCCATTTGAGGAATGAACCAGCAGATGGAAGATGTCTCACTCTCCCTCTCCCTGTAACTTTGCCTTTAAGATAAATCTTAAAAAAAAAAAAAAAAAAATAGAAACCAGAGTCATTAAAGAGAGTCCCAGGATGACATTTGCAAGTAATCTCTGCACAATACCTTGGGTCAATAAATACAGTTCCAGGTGGTTGTGGCAAGGATTTGTCTTGATCAACAGTACATGAGATAGGTGCGAATCCTCTCATTGATGATGTTCTTGAGATAAATGTTAGTGAAGTCTTAAAAACGACTTTCCTTTTATAAACCTGCAGGTGCAAATTTTAAGTAACTATCAATTCCATGATACTCAAATTTTTACAGAAACCAGGAAATAATCCAAAGTCCATTAAAGGACTAAATTCTTCTCATTTTCACCTGAATTATCTATACACATGTAGAAAATGTTTTTAAAATGGATAATCTATTAAACGTGGGCACACCGCATAACACAGGAGCCCCTAGTAAGTTTTACTTGAATCTGAATTCATTGCTTATAAGATACAACATAATTCATCAAGGGCCATTATTGAAAAAGCAGTTAAACCATTTCTTTTACAATTTGTGTTATCTATGTTTAAATTCTGTGTTTTCCTTAAATATCTTACTATTACTGTCTTCCTAAAAGCCATGGTTTTCTTCATGGAAATAGGGCAATGCTAGACTCAAAGTATTATATTATGAAACAGCAAAATATTCATGACTATAGTGGTATATAAGTCAGTATAAATATTATGCAGACTGAAAGGACTTAAAGGTAGTTAATGGTCAAACGATTTTAAAATCACATTCAATGAAATACTTTATTTTCCATTGAGTCCCAGAATTCCTTTGGCTAGTTGATGAATATATAAACTATAATGTATTTTTTAAATTGTGCTTTCTTCATGGGAGGCATACTCGTTCTGAAATGTAGGGGAAAGCAGGTTAGTAAGAAACTCTCCATAATATTACTTGAAGACAGGCTCAGTTTAATTTTTGTATATAGCATCTATGTATGTTCTCTCTTATTGCATAACTAAAAGGAAAATCCTTGAACTTCTAAAAACCTATACTTCTGCTCACATTTTATTCAGTATAAAAGCAAAACATTACATTTCAGTTCAGAGGGGAAAACTACTTTAACTCCTGATGTTTTCACGTGGAAAAAGATAATGGGGGAGAGTAGGATTTAAAAAAATGTTGACACCTTAATTGGGCTTAAAAGTTTGACAAGTCCGGGTATATACCTGGAGAATCCTATGTGTGGATCACATATGAATCTTGTCAGCTGTAATGCTTCACTCCAAACCCTAAGGAGTTTCACAAAAACTTAAAGAAAAGGTGAACTGAATAGAAGAGGCTATACTTTTTAGAAGGCCATGTATTGTCCCTTCTTCCTTCCCTTGTATAAAATACACTTGCCTTCTACAATTTTAAGAATCAAGTTGAATTTTAAAATACTTAATGAACTTTTTCTCTATAATAATATCCTCTTCAGAACTGTCAACATATTTAGAGAAATCTGTGTTCTGTTTAACTTTGCATCCTCGGGAGTGAGTTTCAGCAAACTATAGCCCACAGGTCAAATCTTAGCCCATTGCCTGTTTTGGTAAACACGGCTTATGGGAACACATAGTGATAACCATTTGTTTATTAACAGCATGCATCTGTTTTTATGTAACTACTCAGCTCTGTCCTTGTAGCAAAGTCCAAAATGTACACTACGAAGTCCTTTCTAGAAAAACTTTGGCAGCCTCCTGCCCTACAGTCCAATCTGTTTAAGTGTAATTCAATGACTGACACACAAGGAACTGTTCTATCATACATTGATCCTCATGTTCCCAAATAATAATATAATCAGATGAATCTTGCAACAGTGACCATCTTTGAAGAAGCCATTTCCTGGGCCTACTAAATTATGCCCATGTCACTCAATCAAGTATAACAGTAGTTGCTCTTACCTGTGATTGGATGCCACAGTCACTAGTAGGATACCAAAATACATACACATCTTGGAACACGGTGCTTACAGGGCAACCATGTCCCAGAAACACCTCATCAGAAAGCAAATACCAATCACCAAATGTCGGTGCTTTAAGGTTGACTTGTAACCAAGTGAGATTACAATATATTTCAAGGGCTGAAAGATCCAAAAAGAAGATGTCAATACAAATGTGCCCTGGAAACAACTCGGAATCTTACAAGGTAACTATAAATCACCTTCCTACCCTAGAGAGAAAACAAATGTATCTTATGCTTCAAAGAAATTTTAGAGAAAATCAAAATCAAGTTAACTAGATCAGGGGACCAAGGTCTGAGCAAATGGAAATTGAGAAAAAAGGGCACCACCAAGGGAGAGGCTCTAGGCCAAATTACTCACAAAAGTCCTGCATATAAACTAAAACTCATGTATCTTCTCTGGTTTGTGGTGATAGAGTACAAAAAAAAAAAAAAAAGAAAGAAAAGAAAAACACAGTGTATGAGTGAAATTGATGCCCTGAGATTTGGTTATAGTTTATAGCTCCTGTCTATACTCCTGAGGAACAGTAGTTTTTCTACTTACTGAATTCTTTATTTAATGGAGGATTATGCTTGTGATTATAAATTGTAAGTATGCTATCAAAAAATAAAAATAGGGGCCAACACTGTGGCACAGAAATTTAAGCTAATACCTGCAGCACTGGCATCCCATATGGGCACCAGTTGGAGTCCTGCTGCTCTACTTCCAAGCAAATTCCCTGCTAATGCACCTGGGAAAGCAGTGGAGGATGACCCAAGCCATTTGGCCCCTTCACCCACATGGGAGACCCAGAAGAAGCTCCTAGTTCCTGTCTCCTGGCTTTGGCCTGGCTCAGCCCTGGATTGTTGTGGCCATATGGGGAGTGGGCCAGCAAATAGACCTCTAACACTGTCTTTCAAATAAATGGATCGATCAATCAAAAAAAAAGGAAGGAAGAAAAAAGGAAGGAAGGAAGGAGGAGGAAAGGTGGGAGGGTGAAGTATCATTATGTTCTTAAAACTACATAAGAAATACATGACATCTGTTCCCTTTACATAAACAAACCAAAAATCCACTAAAAGTCATGGCAGCAGTCAGAGATGATGTATTTAGAACTGCTATTCTAAACCAGACCATCACCTACATTGTGGCACAGTGGGTTAAGCCACTGCCTGTGACACTGACACCCCATGAGTCCTGGTTCAAGTCCCAGCTGCTCTGCTTCCAATTCAAGTGCCTGCTAATGTGCCTAAGAAAGCAGCCAAAGATGGCCCAAGTGCTTGGGCTCCTGCTGCCTGGGAGGGAAGACCCAGATGGAGTCCCTGACTCCTGGCTTCGGCCTGGACAAGCCCAGCCATTTTATCTGTTTGGAAAGTGAACCAGCAGAGGGAGACCTCTCTTTCTCTCCCTCTCTCCCTCTGCCCTGCTCTCTGCAACTCTGCCTTTCAAATAAACCCTAAACAAAATCCAGACCATCAAGATGCTGACATAGTCCCTAAGCAGAAGGGAGTTTCCTAACTATCAGTTCTTAATAGGATGGAATTGGGGAACACATTACTGGGAATTTAAAGTAATTGAAATCCCTACACCTGAGATATCAGTCAATCGTAATTGCTGTGCCATGTTAACATTTTTACCATAGACACATCTGTCTCCATAAGACTAAACTAGCCACTAAACTAAGACTCATTTCAGTCAGTGGCCAGTTTTTTTCAATTAATACTTTAAATATTTTTCTTAGATGTGGTTTTAAATAACAATGTCTTCTAGAACTGGCTTTATATTTTAAACCTTTGCTATTGTTTACTTTTTTTACATTACTGTTTCTGATAATGAGGCACAAAGAACTTGTATTCACTGAGTTTCTAGAAAATTACTCCAGGTCTATTTCTGGTCCATTGCCTTAACCACTTAGCCACAACTACCGGGCTCCAGGTCTATTTCTATAATTAAGACTGTGACCTGAGGCCGGCGCTGTGGCATAGCAGGTAAAGCCGCTGCCTGCAGTGCCAGCATCCCATATGGACACCAGTTCAAGTCCCGGCTGCTCCACTTCCAATCCAGCTCTCTGCTAGGGCCTGGGAAAGCAGTAGAAGATGGCCCAAGTTCTTGGGCCCCTGCACTCACATGTGAGACCAGGAAGAAACTTCTGGCTCCAGATCGGCGCGGCTCCAGCCATTGCGGCCAATTGGGGAATAAACCAGCAGATAGAAGGCCTCTCTTACTCCCTCTGTGTAACTCTGACTTTCAAAAAAAAAAAAAAAAAAAAAAAAAGAAAGAAAGAAAACTGACTTCTTACCTAAGGATTTTTATAGTAAAGTTATTATATGCTTTCAACAATTCTTAACCTTAGAGGTTTGAGGACTCTGGTCTTTAAACCATATTTGCATTATACTTTAACTGTAGGTGATACAACTGAGCCATTCAACTCTTAATTCCAAAATACCTCCAACCTCATCTTGATCAAAAATCATACCAACTGAATTCTTAAACAATGATAAAACATAGTAGTAACAACAAAGTCTTAGTCCTCAAAAAAAAAATCAAATCTTAAGTAACTGCCATTGAGGTTCTTCTGGAAATAACTAGTAACACCAAAGTCTAATTGCGCTGCTCCAAATTTAGTCACACCGATTTACTACAGATTGTCTTAGGACAATTGTTTGAAGAGTTCAAACCCACTGCCAAAACCCACTTTGCAGATAAATCTAAACAAGGTCAGAAATAAGACCACAAATCTCACTGCACCCCTCAAGACTTATTTAGATACCAGTCAACTTCCTAAAAGGTGTATGTAGAACCAGTATCATCTGACAATTACTCATTTCCAGTTCACCTGCTCACTGTCAAGTTCAATGTGTCATTTTCTGGTCTTCTATAGGGAGATGATGATGAAAAAGTAAGCTTCAATCAGTAAGCAACATAGGAAAACTGATGTAGGAAGATGTCATGGACAAGAATTAAGTGAGCCATGAGAGAGTTCATGAAGGCTATTCTGACATGAGGACTCAAGTGTGGAAGAGGCACATAGCAGAAGAGAAAAGACAGGTTTGGGGCCAGAGGAAAATATCTATGAGAGGTTGTTTCAGAAAAAGTAACATCAACTTGAAATAACTGATAAAAGTAATTAAGACAGTAATACTTATTTAGCATTGAGTCTAGTTAGAATCAGAAAATCCTTAGTTATTGCTAGTTAGTATCCAACAAAAACAATGAAAATCAGAAAATTAAGTGAGAATACAGTTCATTCAACACTCGAGTTGAACAAACACATCAATGTGCATGAGTATCTGCAAAAGTTATGAGAAAATTTTCAAATTTCTGTTTTATACCTTTTGGTGCCCCATACCCCAAAAAAGTCACAGCAGCAAGTAAAGCCAACTTGAAGAGAGTCTTCATGATACCAGTTCCAAGGCAACTGCCTCTCTGGTTGCAGAAAATAAAATGGAGGTGGGTGGCCAGCACGTGACCATAGGGCACACAGCGCACTCAGGTGTTGCACATATACACCACCTGAGGCCTTACCATATAGTCAACCCATTTCCTAAACTCGGATCCTTCACAGATCACACAGGTTCTAAATTCAAGAGAGTAGGTAAACATTAAATTTGTGTTCAGAGGTCAGTTTCTTCTTCAAATGTCTGATAATAACAGGGAGGAAAGTAATTTTGTTAATTTAAGGATTTCCACCATTGTGAGGGTAATTTGTGTGGCACAAGGAGACTCCATCTAACTTAAGGCTATGCCTGAATCTCCCTCTACAACTACCCAGCTGATTGTCAATCCATCTTATTCTGCCCACCTGTTCTCTAGTTTCCATCTGCACTTTCCCTTTTAAATACCCCATTTCTATTCTTCCCTTTACAACCATTCTCCTAAGGGAAGTTGTTTATACTCATTCTTCCAGGCTCCTTTTTTCTCATCCTCTCTTAAACCTTATCCAACAGACTTTCACCCTCACCTCTCCACTGAAACTGGTTTTGTCAAAATCATCAGTACCCTCTGCATTGCTAAAGGTCAATTACGTTCACATACTACGGTCTCAGCAATGACTGATGTGGTGACAGCTCCTCCTACACGGCTTCCAGGGCCCCTGGCTTATCCTTGTTTTACAGTCTACCCTCTCTTTGGCTCATTTGAAGTTTCCCCCTCCTCTCAGCTACCTCTTGACACTGGAAATCACAAAACTCAAACCATGGGCTTTTTCCTCACATATTTGCTTTGAACTCATCCAGTCTTCTTGGTTTTAGATACTACTTTTCTATTTTAAAAACTGACAGAGATGAGGGGAGGGGGCTAAAGAAGGAAAGTGAGAGGGAGTGGGGCTGAGGAAGATCTCATCCCAGAGCAGCATTCCCCAGATGCTTGCAATAGCAGGGGCTGAAGCCAGGAGCCAAGATCTCAACCTGGGTCTCCCACGTGGGTGGAAGGAATCCAGCTACCAGAGCCATCACCTGCCGCCCCCCAGGGAACACATTAACAGTAAATTTGAATCAGGAGTGGAGCTGGGACTCAAACCCAAATGCTTCCATATGCGATAAAAGCATCCAAGTAGCATCTTAGCCACTGTGCCAGAGTCACCTCTTCAATATTTTTGTGGATACATTCAGATTTTTATATCCACCTTCAATCTTCTTTCCCTTTTAATTCCAGGCCCATATATTCAACTACCTACTTGCTATCTCTTCTTATAGACCCAAAGAGCATCTTATAGGTGATATTTTCAAAATAGAGTTCCTGAACCAGCATGTTCCACATTCTTATCTGATTTAGTGGAATCTCCTCTCTTCCAGTAAATCACAAATCATGAACTTCCCTGGATTCCTCTTTCTTATGTTTCATATCTGCCTTGAAGTCCTTCTCAGATGGGGGGGGAGGGATTTGGATTGGAGAGGTTGGGGGATTTGACCTCTTCTTATCAATTCCACTGCTGCATATAACCCAAGATTATCAATCTCAACATTATTGCCATTTGGGGCCAGATAACACTTTGTAGCCAGTGTCTATCTTATACACTATAGAAACATCCCTAGCCCATAAACACTGGATGTTAGTAGCACACTGACACTCCACTGTGATAAGAGTATGCCCATGGGGCCGGCGCCGTGGCTCACTTGGCTAATCCTCCACCTTGCAGCGCCGGCATCCCATATGGGTACCGGGTTCTAGTCCCGGTTGCTCCTCTTCCAGTCCAGCTCTCTGCTGTGGCCTGGGAAGGCAGTGGAGGATGGTTCAAGTGCTTGGGCTCCTTCACCCACATGGGAGACCAGGAAGAAGCACCTGGCTCCTGGCTTCAGATCAGTGCAGCGCCGGCCATGATGGCCATTTGGGGAG